TTTACCAGAACGTTAAGCCGAATAAAACTTACATATCAAGCCAGTTTTGGTTAAGAAAGCTGAGTTTGTTTGGATTATTCGCCCGCTGATTGTAGTGTCAACGTCCTCATATTCTGGAGACGCACTAGATACTTCTGGCTTTGCCTTGGAATTGAACAGAACAGACAACTTACCGATGTTATAGATAAGGAGTGAACTCTGGCCTGTTCGTATGTAGGTGGAGGAAAATTGAGCGAGGTGCTAGGCTCCTCTGGAGGTGCACTAGGAACTTCTGCCTTTGCCTAAAATTTTCAATTTGGTGACCCGGAAGCGAAAAAGAGAAAGTAAACTCACTATGCTGTAGATAAGGAGTGAACTTTCGCCTGTTCGTAAGTGGGTAGGTGACATCGGGCAAAGTGCTGGGCTCCATGGACTAAATTTTCTATTGCTCTTTTATTTCTTATTCTTAGCTGAAACGTCGATTCGATGACAAAACAATAGAAGATGAACTAGATTTACTAGAGTGGGTTAAACGAAAAATTCATCCATAACCTTGTCCACAAATTAAATTTTTTTATTAAAGAAATCGTATTGTAATGAACTGATAGATATCAAAAAATCCAAGTCTTTAGGAAAAATTTGATTACTTTGATTTTTATGTGGAAAGGTACCACGTTAATGGTCCCGAGAATTTCACTATCTTTCAAAAAAAAAAGATTTTATTCGAAAACAGTGAGCTTATAGTAGAAGCGAGCTGGTAACATTTCGATGAAGAGTAAAATTTTCAAAAAAAACAATACAAGACATCAAAATTATGAGATCACTAATATGCGAATCAACAGCAGAGAGTCAGATAGTGCAAAGCATATACATCTAAAGTGGAAAACTGTAAAGTTCAGCACTGATAATCACTAAATGCTGATAGGTTCGTTTGAGCAGCAGCTTCACAGTCTTGGCAAAGGTGAAGAATGGGTGGAAGTGACGTCAATTATGCAGCTCAGCAGGCTGACTCACTTTTTTCACAAACTACAAAATGTGTTTGGATCACTTTTGTCTACTTCTTCAATCATTTTTTCGTTTTGGCGATGCTTCAAAAGTATAAGCTGAAAAGATAATCTTTGTATAGTTTAGAATGGACTTACTATCTCTCAGGATGCATTTGTACTCTCGTATTAATTTATGTGGTTTGTATGCGAGCGAGTTGGTAGAAGCTGAGCCAAAAAATTATGGGGGGGGGGGGGGAATGTGAGAGGAGAGAGTTGGGCACTTTTTGGATACCCTTTTTTTGTTATTTGAGCACAACTCCATACAGCCTGTGCATGTATGCATGAATTATCCGAACCATATGTCACTTAATATGTGAGTCAGCACAGCGCGGTAAAATTCTCGGTAAGACCTTTTCTTAGCAATGTAGAAATGTTTGCTACTAACTGGTACATATCTAATCAAGTCAAAAGGGAAAAGGAAGCAAAGAGAAGTCACTGGAACTAGGTAGGTTCTGCTCTTGAAAACCATCAGTTTGCGCGCATGCGAGCAAAGCGCATGCTGAGTTATGAATGACTCGACCATAGGCTATAACCAAATGATGTAGTGCCACAGCAATTAGGAAAGGTGGTGGGAATCTGAGAGTTCCATTTAATCTTTTATTCAACTGGCTTGGCGGCTGGAAGGCGTGGCTTTGTGGCCTAATTGAGGCCGCTCGCGCTCGCTACGCAGTCTGCGTCTCTCTCTCGCGAGTACAGTAGGTTTCGACCCGCTTTAGGCGGAAATTGGATTGGCGGGAGTCCGCCTCGCAATAGCTCACGCCGTTTCGCAGCTACAGTATATCCTATCGTGCTGAGAACCCATGTCTGCGTCTCTTCAATCTCCTTAGTATTTACTTGGCAAAATGCCAGCGGTATGCGCTCGCAAAGCCTCCAGCGATGCGCATGCGCTGCTCCACGTAGAATGTCTCGTCTAATCCGGGATGAAACCGACTGTACTCTCTGATCACTACCTAGCTATTAGGTCAGAAGCCCGCCTTTCAGTCGCTAAGTTAGTTGAGCCGAAAGGTAGATTCTATGTTTTCGAATAATGCGACTTTTCAATATGCTTGCGGTCGGTATCATCTTGTAAGCTTGCTTTTCTTTGTCCGACACTGGGTTGCAAATCTCCATTTTTTATTCACCTTGAAGAAAAGCTCTTTCGAAACTTAGTGTAAGCTTTCTATCTAACCTAACAAATTTCTATACCTGATAAATAGCTCTTCTTTCTATTCCAGAGCATTTATTAGTTTTTAGCTCAAGTTTTCAGGTTTATAGGAGAGCTTTTTTAGCTTCCCTATACATGGATTCAGAAATAAATGGGAGATTCCATTGAATTGATAGTCAATTTCATGAAATGTACTGCATCTTGCACATGATCTTCAACTTTCAAAATGGACATATTCGCGCAAAGTTGATTCTGTTACAAAAGTTCTTTAGCAATCTCCGAATCTGGTTTCCTGCGCTTAGCATGAACGGTGAGAAGACGCGTAGACGCGTACATGTTGTCCTCCGGTTCGCAGAAGTTTGACGGAAACATGATTTGCTCGAACGCAGTAAACACTGCAGCAGGTAGAATCCTAGGTGGTACTTATCCAGTGGAAACAACGGGCATCCGCACGGGTGTTGATGAACGTAAGAGGTTGGCGTAGAAGTTCTTGTGATAACTTCCATCTTTTGCAGGGATAGAGTCGGGGTCCCGTCTTCGTTCAATAGTGCAGTTAGCGGTATGTGATATTCACAGTTTTTTTTATTGTTACATAGGGTGACCCCCATGTGCAAAGTCGGACAACAAAAACAAAAACGTAAAACAAAAAGAGAACAATAAAACAGAACACATTAACGACATGATAAAAAAAACCAGCCTGAGGTGTAAAAGATCGAACGCAGCTTCTCGATTGTAAGTAGCTCTTGATGTTTGTTTTGAAGGTAGATAGCTTGACCGTCAAAATGCCGTTCCTTACCATATGATCAAGATCACGTAAAACACGGCAAGTATAAAAGTTTGCTCTGACTCTGGACTTTGCTCTCGGTAGCACTAGTTTCATGCGTCCTCCCCGAATATTAGAGTTTCTGATAGGAAAATAATCATTAACATTCAGTTTACACTCCCCAAACATGATTTTATGCGCCATGATCAAATCAAACATATGCTTTCTGTGGGCGAAGTTATGTCGGAATGTCGGAAATTTGAGGTTAAGATTACGTGTCTTTCCATCCGGGATCTGGTCATATACCAATCCAGTAGATCTAATAAATAATTTACGCGTGAAAACTATCTTGAACCTTCTCAAGATAGTCGACTGTTTTGCGCAAATGAGGGCTGTAGATGATAGTACCATATTCAAGCATAGGCCTTATGAAAGTCTTATAAGCCTTTAGAGACACTTCAACCTTGTTGCAGGAGAGCGCCCTGAACAAGTTATAAACAGCTCTCATAGCTTTATCAGCAAAGAGCTTACAATGTTCATCAAATGTAAGGTCATTTCTGATTAGTTCCTTCTGCACTTCTTGAGACTTTCGTCCTCCGGCTGTTTTCAGTATATTGGCTTGTCTGTAACTTCCTAATAAGATCCTTCTGCAAAGCTGTTCTGTAAGGGGGGGGGGTTGGCTATCAGTCGCTCCAGATGGGTTGCATTCGGATCCTGCTCCAGAAATCTTCTTCTTTCAAGCAATTCCTTGGTGGTCTTTAAAATATGTTCCAAGTTCTCGGAGGTCACTGAGGCGCACTCTCCGCAGGCTCGTAATCGTTTCGAAAGCCGGTCACAGTCGTACGTTGGGTCCCCCTGTCCTCCTCGATGGGCCAGTCACAATCTGGTATGAGCTCTTCCAGCCTGTTACGTCATAAACTACATTCCTCATTCTTGCGGTGCTATGGCAGACCTTGACCTTTCGACTGAATTGTACCTTCGCTCGAAAGAGGCGCTGTTCGGAGCCACCGCAGAAAGATGTAACTACTAAGACATCGAGCAAGCCCCACCTTCGGTTGGTGAGAATATAGTCTATCTCCGCGTGAATCGTTGCGTTGGTGACACTCGGTTCTGCGGCGTCGAGGTAGACGTGGAGGTTGGCGTTATCGGAGACTTTTTTGACGTTGTAGGCGCAGAGCATGAGGCAGTCTCCATGGTGTCTCGTAGCAGACGGGTCATTCTTACCAATCGGCGCCTTGAGGATCCTAACATCGTTTATGTTACCTATTTTCATCGAAAACGAGATGGCGGTGGATCTGGCCTTCTGGCTCTTAGCTAAGTACGACAGTAAACGGAAATGTTAAATCCTGTGTGACTTAGTTCCAGGAATTATCGATTACTTTAATGCTATCGATTTTTTGCAAAGTTGGAGCTATGGGGATGGGAGTCAGCATAGTTTCTGCAAATTTAATTGCTCTGCAAACAGTGCAGCCATCCATGATGCTCAAAATTTGTCAATTATTTAGTTAGCAGATATTGCAGCCATCCGATGCATATCAATAACACCCCCTGTCTGCTCGTAATTCCCTATGTGTATTTCATGAGCTATCTATTTTATAATAGTACCTAGAATTACATGATCTATAAATAGCATTTCATACAGTCGTCAGATTTTTCACAAACTTTCGAGATGTTCTTCATAAGTTATTGCACACTCTAGACATAATGATTTGAACCTGAAAAATTATGGGCAGTCACTGTCCTTTTTCAAAAGGGTTTACGTACGGTGGAAAACATGTTCCAATCAAAAATAAAATTTATACATATTTAGGACCTGCTAGAGCTAAGAGCTAGAGCACAAATTCCAAAAATGCATGCGCAAAGGTTTATGCATAACTCGGCAGTTTCTTCATTTTCTTTTTGTTTGCACCTGCGGCATATATCTGCAATTAATATTTTCAAATACAATATAATTTTAATCAAAAATTGCCTTACCGTTGTGACTATGACGGCATGAAACATTGCAACTACTCGCACTAAAAAAACTCAAATTTTCAAACTCCATTAAAAACTCCAAAATATGAATTCCTCACCAGGAGATAGGTGTAGGCTGCTCTATTATAGTTGTTGATGGTTCAGGAAATGTTGTTTGGATTATCCGCCGGCTGATTGTTGTGTCAACCTCCTCGTATTCTGGAGGGGCACTAGGTACTTCTGGCTTTGCCTGTAATTTTTGAATTAGGGACCTGGAAGCGAACAGAACACTACAGGGAAATTACTGATGGTGTAGATAAGGAGTGCACTCTGGCCTGTTCGTAAGTGGGCAGGGAAGAACCCGGTAAAGTGCTAGGTTCCTCTGGCGGGGCACTGGGTACTTCTGGTCTTCCCTAAAATTTTAATTGGAGGTCCGAAGGTGAGAACAGGGACAGGGAACTTACTGAGGTAGATAAGAAGTGAACTCCGGCCTGTTTGTAAGTGGATAGGCTGACACTGGGCGAAGTACTGGGTTCCATAAGCTGGATTATTTATAATTTTTTTCATTGTTACTTCATGTAAACGTCGACAGCTGTACGACAAAGCAACAGAGAATGAACTAACCCCATTAAAATGAAATAAGCAATAATCACCCATAATTTTTTTCACAAATTACTGCAAAAGAAAATATACCATAATGAACTGGTATAACTTCAAGTATTTATTGTCATGCAGACTTTAGTAAAAAGTTTTAAGTCTTAATAAAATATATGATTGATTCGGTACCTATGGAAAGGCGATTATATCAACGATCACCCCTAGATGATGTTGTTTTTCGAAAATGAGATCCTATTTGAAGGCAAAAAGCTGTTGAAAAAATCAGCTGGTATGTTCCAAAAATTAGTCAAATTCTTCGAAAAGGCATCAACACGAACAGAAATTATGAGAAAAGTAATATGCAAATTAGCAATCAAATGGTTTAAAGCGTCAAAAGTGGAACACTGCGAACTTTAGCATTGATAATCACTGATTGCTGATAGGTTTGTCTGGGAACTTTATAATCCTGGCATCGTTGAAGAACGGGTGGAAGTGACGTCACTTATGGGCTCATATCAAAGCGCAGCACGCTGATTCACTTTTTTTCACAAACTACAAAGTTTGAGTCATTTTTGTGCCTATTTGTGAAGTTGAAAGGTGGAAACATAAGTTTCGTTGCTCTCAAAAGAAATATCTCTCATAACAGTTTTCCAAAGATTTTCTACCACAAATCGCTTGAGGGCTGTATAAGCTTTCCAATTTTAATTCGAAACTTGCGTTAAACTCAAATTAATAAGAGAGATACAGAATAACTTTTAGGAACAAAGTGATATTAGAGGATGGTTTATGTTACTGTAACTACCTATTACTTCCTATCCCACCATATTCATGAATTTTTGGAGCAAAGCAAAGTTCAAACTTGTGTAGTTTTTTCCACTGAGCTTAAAAGTGATTGCAACCGAAAGCGTAAATCACCTAGCTGTTCCAGCGAGAAGTTTTCAAAGTGGGAAGTAGGAAGAGGAAATGGGATGAACAACTCTATCAAAAAGATGTGCTTTTATAATCTCGTACTTGTTTAGAAATATGAGAGTATTTGCTAAATAGATATTATTTCAAATTTACTGCGTTTCATGCGGAATTTCAATTTTCCAAATTGAGATGTTTGCCGCAAAATCGATTCTATCATGAAAGTTCTCTTGCAAGCTCCAAATCTAATTTCTTGCAGTTTTCATGAAGTACACTGAAACATCAGTGAACCTTCAATTTCAAAACATAGTCGCTGGTAAGTTTATTTTAGGAGCTCTTTTGTAAGCTCTACACGGTCTTGCATTTCTTATAATCGCTTTTAGTTTGTAGAGATTGCAAAGAGCTTCTGGCAATATATGAGCATCTAATAAAAAATATCATGATTGTTTGGTCATGACTTTCATCACATTCCTGGAATGTCAAAAACACTATTTTGTTTCGAAAGTCTGATTTCACAATTTTCAGCCCATTTTCTAATTGTTGAGGAGTGAAACATAAAATATTTTATGCTTTTTTCACTTTTGAAGTGACGTCAGTGGTTTTCAAGACAAGTCAACAAGTCATTTGACATAAATTTGCTTTTAAGCTTGTCGTTTTCGGTAGATTTCCTGAGGCGGAAAGCAGGAAATGAAGTTTTGATTGACTTTTTGTCTTTTCGTCGCCGAGGATTTGCGGAAGTCATTCATGCAATGACAATCGAGGCTGATTCGTTTCAAATATTGTGAAGTGCTAAAGTACGTTAAAGGGTTTTGGTTTTTGAACAAAAATCCCTATAAGCTCCAAAAATGTCATAAATTTTCAAATATATTGGAGGGATAAACAAATTTTTGTCGGTAACATCATATAGAGATGCTACCAAGCAGAATGAGTTTTGCTTTTTATATAAAGCTGAATGTCTGTCTGTATGTCTGTATGTCTGTACGTATGTGCGGAATAGAAATTTTTATTTCTGAACCGATTTGGACCAAACTTGGCACACATATGCTTCGGGGCAGGGAGCGTGTCATAGGCTACTTTTCGTTATCGATCGATATCGATTTTATCGATTTTTTGCAAAATTTGAGCTACAGGGCTGGGAGTTGGCACAGGGGGGTAATCGAGCATGCTGATTACAAATATATTATTGACAGGCCCGGGCGGAGCCGGGTATGCCAACTAGTGTCGTATACACTAGATCAAGTCTGCAGGCTCTTCCTTACCGTGCGCCTACAGTAATTTTTACTGAAAGTGCAATATTTGGCTGAATATTGGCAACCTTTGTGGCTCACATCATATTCTATATGATGCCAAAGTTTGAGTGTGCCATGTGTAAAAACGGAAAATTATTGGCAAACCTGCGAAACTTGTCCTAACTTACAATTAATAAAATTTTATTATTTATTGTATTATAAGTATATACTACTATTGTTAATAAAATTTTATAACAAGCCTAATATTGGAGTCAATATTATAAGTTATAAAAAACAACAGAATTTTGCCTCTGGTCTCCGTTTTCGTCCGCTATGTAAATTTGTAAAGTTTTTCCACCTTTCGTCCCGTCCTCACCTCTCCCCTTTTTGAAGATGATAGTTCTTGCAACTTTGTATCTCCTCCATACGCATATCTCCAATGAGAGTTTTGCTTTCAAATTTGAAAAACCATTAGACGTGTTAATCTAGGTTTATAGGTTTTTTTGTCAATACAAGCGTTACTAAGTATAATTTCGGTTCAAAGATTCGTTCGTACCTCGAAAAATCACATCTCTTTTGCCTCTGAATAAAACCTTATTCTTTTTCGTTCAAAAGCAGAGTTTAAGCACTTTACGAGTTTTTTAAAACGCTATGGAAAAATGAGAGAGTTACTAGCAATTGGAAAAAAGATTAGGCAAAGTTAATGTGAAGAACATTGAAAGTATTCTTATTAACAAGAGAGAATTTTGCGCATCACAGTGATATTTCACTTGAATTTGTTTGAAAAAGAAACTTAAATAGTAAACACCTTTCGCACAAAATGGTTATTTTCTATATGAAACATAGGCTTATGATTTTTTTACTTTTGAGTCTGCCTTTCTTATCTTCAACATTTAGTGATTCTCATCAAAGACATAGCTGTAAAGAGCATGCTCTTGCTTTTTAAACAAAAGCTTCAAGGAGTTCCAACTAGATGCAAAGAAGTTATAATTTCTTAGAGCAAAATTGCTAATTTTTGGACTGACCTAATAAATACGATTATTCATAGATGATCATTGCCTAGAGCCTTCCTCGAAAAGTGAACATGTGTCTGGATGATGACAAAGCCTTCATTAGAGCCCCGTGTTTCCTGTTTAAGAGCTTGGAGTCATATATTAAAAAATGAATTGCCATTAATCATCGCCTTGAAGTTTTTAGGCTGGCTGTGTAAGAATTCATTTCGTAGTCAACAAACAGCTTCGTTTCTTCATAATCAACATTATCTTTTTGGGTTCGACTGTTTTCTGATCTCAAATCTTGCGTTCAAGCGCGCAGTACGGCAATGAATGCTTTCCATATTAGTACAAGTATAAAAGCCCATAACGATTTGCAAAAGCGCATGAATTATTGCTATTGCACGAAGAACGATTCTAGATAATGCTGCATTTTTGCATTTGAATTTGAAGAGCTATTTCGTGAGCAAATAAATCTTATTGCAATGTAATGGCTATGTTCATGGCAATAATCGCGTATCTCCTCTTTCCTTTTTGCGTTAGATTTAGTGAGCTGCATTACAAAAAACAAATTGCTTTCAGACATTGGCTTGCTTGTCTGATTGTTAATGTGGTAGTCTCTTCACGTTTTGAAAGAAATTTGATACTTGTTGAGAAACTCTTCTGGTTCTCAGTCCAAAACGTATTTTTATGGTGTTGTAGTCATGAATTTTCGCACCGTTTAAGCAAAAAAAGCTCTCATATGTATGTATTCTCTATGAAAAGACTTGCCAATATGCAGGATTAACAGATAATTTTAATTCTCCGGATTTTCGCCGAACTCACAGTCTTTGTTTATTTGAAGGAAAAGTTTTACGGGCGTTAGAGAAGCGTTGAACTGAAGTCTCGTCTCAGTTTTGTAATTTAGATTTGGCCTTTTAATTGGTTTTGCTTTTCAATCTCATTTGCTGCTTTCCGCTCAGCGTACTGAAAATCAAGTTCAAAATATGTGCGAGATTTACTCACGTTGCTGAAGGAATGGCAGCAACCCCCCGATTGAAAAAAAGTGACATTTTCAAAAAAAATCGTGAGATAATCTCGTAATCACCACGATTTCTCACTTTAGCCTCCTATATTATGATTTATTCGACATCATACTATCTCAGCAATCATGCAGAAAAAAGTAGAGTAAGTTACTAAGCTACATGGACTTCGCAAATTTTCTTGTTGTACACAAACTACAACTTTTTGTCACTGAATTTGTGCCAGGGAAATTTCTTCGAAGCATGCAGCACGTTTGCATCACAATGAACTCTCCCAGACGAAAAAAAAAGTTATCCCATCAACATGCATTGCCTCTTCGTACGAATTAGGTTTAAGTTTTTTGGAAGTTTAATCTTGTATAGAGCGCAGTAGCGTTATTCGCTTCGTTTCGTTCATTCCACAGAATAATTTTTAAAAGTCATGAAGCGTCTGCTCGAAGTTTGTCAAATAATCATTTTTTTGTTGGAGTAAGTCTACATTTACCATCTTTTTTTCTATATACAGTCTTCTACAGTAATTCTACTTCAATTCATCATGTATTTCCTTGTTTCCTTGTGTTTGCTACGAATTTGAACTTCTGTTGATTACTAATTGACGTCCCAGTGACTTTTTTGGACAGTATAATTCCAGGATTCGAGCACCGCGCTTTTTGATTGCTTGTGCTGTTTTGCCGAGGACGTAGCAGACAATGATTGGTTTTCTGTTCGAAACGTTCGAAATAAATCGTTATAGAACAATAATGCATACAATTTTAGGTTGAATAGAGCCTAATGAGCATTTGAAATTTTGTTATAAAGAAGATGTTCATGCAGCCTGAAATACCTCATAGTCCAACAACTAATATATCGCAAGATAAGCTAGATCATTCTTTTTTAGCACTGCTATTAGGTTGTCCCACAGGTCTTTTCATATCGGCAAAAATCAGCTAACCCTATTTTTTTTGAATTAGAGCTTGAGCGACTATTTGACAGAGCAACGCAAGTTCTAAAAGATGACCTTCAAAAAATTGCAAAAGGTTTATACACGTGAATCGTAAAGCATTTGCTGAATTTTTCTGCGGCTAGAAATCGAAAAACAAAAATATTCCAAAATCACGAAAAAAAATCAAGAAAATGTCGGCTTTTCTAGGTTTTTTGATTATAAATTCGTTATTTTTCGAAAAATAGCACGTAGAAGGCCGAAATTTTTGATATTCACTAAGGTTCATACTACAGATCTATATAGGAACACCCCAGCATAAATTTAAAAAAACATGCAAGTTCTTATTTTCTTGATTTATAGCAGTAGAAAAAATACAGCAATTGTATGTATGAATGTCTAATGTGGAAATTGTGTGCTAGAACAAGTTGGAAATTCGTAGCATTTTTTTTTGGAAAAAGATTCGTTTTTTTCCAGTGTTTTAGGCATTTGGATTTTTTCAAGATTTCGGATTCAAACTTTGTGCGAATCACACTTGGTGCTCACATAATACTTGATTATAAACTTTAGCTATGCTTCAGCATAGGTTCATTTCCTCATCGTAGAAAGCTTCAATGCTGAATCTTTTTCATGTTTTACTCACTCCTTCATGTAATTAGCCAAAATGTGAAGTTGTGATTATCTTTTCGCTATTATGAAAAAAAGGCATAAATGACCACCTTGTAAAACATTCGTATCTTTTGCGTGAAGCTCGTTCACTGTAAAACAGTGCAAACCATCGCCCCTCCCTTTCCCATTTCTGCTGTTTCATTTTACGTCATGTTTAAGAATCCTTATTCTCTTGCGAGTTGAGTTTTTGTATGAGTTCAAACTATAAAGTGCAAAGCTGGGCTTTATCGAAGCACTTGCTTTCATGCCCTTCATTGAGCTTGATTTTCATGAACATTAGCGTCTTCTGTATGAAGTTCGCTCACTTAAAATCATTCCTTGGATGTGACGTTAGAATATCTGTTTCAAATTTCAATTTTTTTTGAATTTATCATATCAGTAAAAAACGAAAGAACTCGGAACAGAAGTTGCTCTGCTCGATTTCCACTTCAACTTATCTTTGTCATCATCCACTGTCTTACTAATACTGAAGAAGTGGACCGAAATGACTAGAGCTGCGTCTCATTTTGTTCAGTTTTTATCCGTCTCCATTTCTCTTTTGGGCAAGGGAACGAACTTTGCCAGTTTTGAGCCACCTCTGCTGGCCACTGGTCCTTCTGCAATGTTTTTGTATATCGTTGCAGGACCAGTAGTCCGTTCCCCCACCCATTTCTCTTTTTTTTATAATTCATTAGTCTGCTCTTGCTACATCTTTCAACTATTGCAATACAGCACGATCAAGGAGAATGATGGTGCAAATGCAGCAACTTAATAGTATAGATAAACAAAATAATCTACTTTCCTCATTATTCAACCCAATGTAATTAAAGAAGAGCGAATGTCGACTTTGAACCCGAGCGTCTCAATCTACGTACATTTTAGAAGCGTATTTGCCATCAACACTTTCCATTTTCAGAAGAGCAAATAATGAATGTTACACCGTTACATCTACGATGTTTTCCTGAAGAAAAACTGCAGCTCATGACCGAAGCCGACAGGCGCATTAATCAGGTGCGTATTCAGTCTTTTAGACTTTTGAGATTCATGGTGATTTCTAAGGGCTTCGAGATCTGCGTCATAACAAGAGATTTCATTCCCTGAAAGTGCAAAAGTATAAATCACCATCATTATCTAAAATATCCATAGCATGTACTTGTCGAAATCTTCTACACTGGACCATGACAAGCCCAACTTGTGATAGCAGCCAAAAAAATGATTTTTCAAAGCATTATGTAGGTACTTGGGAAGGGGGGATATTAGTGCTTAATACGTTAGAGAAAACCAGGTGGCTCGATAATGTGCTAGTGCTTTTAAAAGCTATGTTTAGCTTTGACTCACACTAATTGCTAGCGACGCAAGAACAAAAAAAAATGGAAAGCAGATTGCAATTTTACCCTGAATAAGCAACTACCTAACAAACATCACCCACATCACCTGCTTGCAATTAAAGTGCTATGATTACACGACTTTACGTAACGACTTATAAAAAAACAGTATAGTCTCCACCTCACGCTTTTCCAGCGCAACGGGACACATAGTTCTGAAGGCACCCTCTTGGCAGAATTTGGTTTTCCAGTTTTTCACCTTTTCGAGTCTTCTCGCTTTGAGGAACCCATATCTGGCTTTTCAGCGCATGAAATTGGCGAAAATGAGCTTTTCCCGAAGCTTTCCAGGTCCGGATGCAGTGAAGATTTCCGGAGGTCTTCCGCGCCCCGCCCACTTGCACGTATTATCCAAAGCTTCGGAAAAAGATCATTTTTCCCATTCTCATGCGCTGAAAAACCCATATATGGACTCCTCACAGCGAGGAGGCCGAAAACGTAGAAATCTGGAAGACGAAACTCTACCGAGACACTGCCTTCAAGCCGCAAATTGTATATCAAAAACAACATGAAACTTCAAAATAATGTTTGATGATTTTCCGCCAAGAAGGCATATCAATACGGATTTATATCTATTTTCAGTTCATCTTTCCGATGCAGTTCATCGTTGCTGTTGGAGGCAACTCGCTTACGATGTCTGTTCTACTTGGTCCTCATATGAAAAATAGGTAGATCACATTTGCATATTGAAAAAATAGCAGAGCCTTTAGTTAGGAGGAGCAATTTTGCGAAAACGGTCTTACGTCAAAAATTGTAAAAATTGGTTCTGAATCGATTTGCATGATCGCTTTTCCGTTAGTGCACTCTTCCATACTGGACCGCCGTCGCGGCGGCTTGCTGCGTGCGCACCGTTGCCGCGTGCGACACGTTCAGAAAAGGCCCGCGTTTCGCCAGCCGTCATTGTCGGACTGGATCAGTTCTCTACAAAAGCGAGGTTTTCAGATTCCAAGATTTTTGTCAATATTCAGAAAGCGTAATGAAGGATAACCAGTTGAAATCCGAAAATATTGAAAGAAATTTGAACTTATTACTTCCTTCTCCCAGTTAATAACAGTCGATCAATACGCGCCATTCGACCGTCTCCCGCTACTGAGTACTGTAGTGCAAAACGGTCCTCATTCCAAATCGCTGAAAGCCAGTAGCGTCGCGCAAGTGAATAAGTAATGAGATCTGCAAAATTTGATCAATCACTCGACAAAGAAGTTAAGTGGTTGTTTCCTGCCTGATCGGAGACATACAGGCTGTTAGTCACGTACTGTTTTTTTTTCGTAGAAACTGCGTGTCCGCAACGCCAGCGCCTCGCGTGCATTGAGGTCAATTGAATGCGCAAGCAGTACGCTCGCGAAAGGGCACAAACGCGGCGCGAGGCTGGAGCGTGCTGATTCGCTGTGAGCGAGTGACATAGGCTGTAAACTGATTTTTAAACATTGCTCCTGCACCCGAATTTTTCAATTATTTACATCACATATCTATATCATATATTTTAGACATATTTTAGACAGCATCACATATTTCGATATTTAGAGCAAATCTACTGCTGGCGTTTCTTGCTTTCTGCGATATACTCGTATTTGTGATGATGTTTCCGCACTATCTCGCTTCTCTGGATCTCTTTGCAAACAATCTGGAGTTTCGTTATATATACTACCTCACAAAAAGGCATCTTGGGGCGTTGACTAACTGGTTCTCAGCTGCAGCAATTTGGTAAGTTACTTCTTGTGCCAAAGTAAGTAATCAAAATCATAATTTGCAGGTTTGTGCTCGCCATCTCTATTGAACGTCTGTTGATTATCAAATTCCCTTTCCGCTCATTGGATAATTATAATGTAAGTCTATTTTCATATGTGGAGGAGCTAGTTCATCAATTCATCTAAGAGGCAGTGATACAAAAAAAAATTTGTGAGCAGTCACGCTTAATGCTTTCAAGATAAAAATGTGATTATTCGCATAAGCATGACTGCAATGGGCGGGAATGTCCCGATAGAGTTGACTGGTGGGCCAATTTTGCGATCAGTCAAGGAAGTGCCGTCCCTCACTTAAACTCGTCCCTTCGGCATCCGGCTACCGTTTGATTCAACTGGCTTGGCTTCGGGAAGGCGGGGCTCCGTGACCTATTTAGGGCTACCTATTGATCAAAGAGCACTCGCGCGAGAGAGAGCAGGTGCCTCGCGGGCGCGAGCGGCCTTAATCACGTCACAGAGCCCCGCCTTCCCGAAGCCAAGCCAGTTGAATCAAATTTTACTTCTACTCCCTCAGATAGTAACTTTCGCGTCCAAAGCAATTTTTTCACGTTTCTGATAGCAGCGGAGTACAATTCCATGATGAAAACTAAAAGTGGGTTTGGAAAGGCATTTCGCTCAAGATGTTCTTATTTCTAATGTTCTTTATATCAAAGGAGAAGGCAGCCAGTATGAACGATAACTTGTGCCAGCTTAGGCATTGTGTAGACCTACCTTTTCTGAAGTCTATGTAAACGCTTAAATATTATTGCAAGAATTTTTAAAAAGTTTGTGTGCTTAACAGGTTTTGTTCCTTGCTTTTTAACCCCGCCTTCAAGCCGCAAAGAGCATGACTGTGGCGTCTTGGTGGGCTCAAGTCACCTAGCTGGGAGACTTACAAGGGAAAGTTCCCAAGTCAGCTCGGACAACCCGGATGATTCACATATCACCGTAACGGACTTGAAACGCTGATTCCAAATCTGCTTTCCTTCTCTGCGGAGCAACTTTCCGAGGGAAGTTATGAGCGTTTAAATGTCTAAATTTGTCATGTTCAAAGTGGCTTAAAATCAGTTGAAAGCTGTAAAACAACACAAAACAACACCATTCCATCATCTGTGTTCCGTCCTTGTAATCAATATACTTGATACAAAACTGATAAATCACTTTCTTGTGTTATTGTTCAGTTTTCGCCAATTTTAAGCCACTTAAAACATGACAAATTTAGACTTTTAAACGCTCATAACTTCTCTCGGAAAGCCGCTCCGCAGAAAAGGAAAGCAGATTTGGAATCAGCGTTTCAAGTCCGTTACGGTGATATATGACTCATCCGGGTTGGCCGAGCTGAGTTCGGAACTCTCCCTCGTTAGACGCAGTACTCCCCAATATGATTATGTGCTCAAAATACTGCGTTATTGTAATACGTGACTAAACGACACGAGTTGAACCAACTCAATGACCTGAAATAAGCTACACTTACTAACACTACGTATATACCTAAGAAAAGTAATGGAGAACTACCACATGGGAGCTTTTCTCATGCAGATGCGCGACTATAACTTGATCTCAAATCTTATGGAACTCTATGTACCGCCGTAACAATGAGCAAGCAGGGGGAGGGGGAGGGGGGGGGGGATCAGAGAGGATCGCGGAACATGCGTATCGACTACCGTAATTGTCAACGGACAGCGCGGCAACTGATACTTTTGGCCGTTGTGCTTGAGGCCATACCTTCGATAGTCTAGAGACAGGGCGTCAAAAGTGAATGTTGTTGAACATCTGACGTCATAAATAGTGAAGGTTGTTTAAAGATGATCAGAGAAGAGAAAATGACATAAAACAGATACAAAAAGCAAAAGAAACTGCTGAAAATGGGATAAAAACGCTGCAATGAGGCTTGAAATCTTTCATTTGGCGGCTTTTCAAAGTGCTAGTTTTCGCTTCAGGACCAGCAATTCGCAACACGGGGTTTTGATTTTTGATGCGTCCTTTGAATTTTTACCCCCGCATTGAGTTCCTGTTTCCTGGGACGTTGTCTGGATTGTTGCGCTTATTGTTCTGAGCAACAGTCGCCCAAGCTGGAAAAAAATCGATGCGAAGGCATTGAAACAGAACAAGGTAAAGAAAAACGCACTTTTTACGATTTTTCGCAAAAAATCCACAATAATCGAAGAGATAAAGGCTGTGTGGTTGTCTGCATTATGAACAGAAGCAAGATCTATAGAATGCACGAAAAAACCGGATAAAAAGAGGTAAACTAGAAGAAAAACAAGAGATTTTCGAAAACAAGGTTTTCGCCGGATTTCTCGTCCAAATCAAGAAATGTGATTTTGGGACGTTGTCAGCGTGGAAATATAGATCAAGAGCTTCAAAATGATATATAGCTTGCTAAAATTGGGTGCGAAACAGCGAAGAAAAGGGTACCAGAGCCAAATGCCCCGCGCCCCGCGTTTGGGGTAGCGAGGTAGCGCGCAGCGCGCGGAGACGCAGACGAGCAGCGGAGACAGACCAGAGCCGACGGGGCATTTGGCTCTGGTCGTAGATCTCCGCGGGGTCTCAACGAAACCCTGCAACATTATATATCATTCTGACCGTCATGACACGACGAGGAGAGCTGACAACGTCCCAAGCTTTAAACGTCACATGCTAACGAGATAGACCAGCATTTTCGTGCGCGACTCTCTGCGCATAATTAAGCGCAGTTTCTCATTTTAATTCAACTACAACAGCTTTCCAAACTTTTGAAACTCATTTTTGGTCAAGTAGGAGGCTAACTGAGGAACGTTGTCCTGAATTCTGAGGAAATTTTCACAGAAATTCTCTTTTCAGCGTAAAAAAGGCTTTAAAAAAGCAGTTTCTCGGTTTCGCTGAGACATTCTTCAGATATTCTTTCCTATATTTGGTTCATTCACATTCTTCCGATATAGTCAGGATTATAACATCCGGGGTTTCGCCCCGGATAACTTCTGTTTTTTTCCCAGGTGAAGGTTGTGTCCCCTCATAGCCCTCAAAGTGAAGGTTACCAGAGTATGTGGCTCTATGTATCGAGGGTATGGCTTGAGGAGCACCTCGCATCACGAGACTCAACAAGAATGCGTTGAAAAAATGAGAATATATGTATGTACGGCATAATGACATCTGTAAAAGTACGGTACGACTGCTTACGGCTATTGTTCATCTCGGCCCTCACTCTCAAAACGGCACTCGAGAACACGTTAGTCCCATCCTCGTACGGTATCATTGCGTATCATTTATTACTAGCTGGCTTGCCCGGCTCCGCCGTATCCGGACCAAACTTGGCACAGATACACTTCGGGCCCCGGCGGGTGTCACAGTCCACTTTTCGTTATCGATCGATGTCGAATTTACCGATTTTTATCGATTTTTTTGCAGAGTTCACCTACAGGGCTAGGAGTTGGCAAAGGGGGGGAAGTGAGCATGGGGATTCCAAATACAATATTAGTTTTCAGAATTATCGATTACTTTTATTGATTTTATCGATTTTTTGTAAATTTTGACATGCGAGGCTGGGATTTTGCACAGGGGGGTAATCGAGCATGCTGATTACGAACACAATATTAGTTTTCAGGATCGTCCATTACTTTTATCGATTTTATCGATTTTTTTGTAAAGTTTGACCTGCGGGGCTGGGAGTTTGTACAGGGGGGTAATCGAGCATGCTGATCACCCCCCTTGGGGATGATCAGCATGCTCCCCCCTGTGCCAACTCCCAGCCCCGTAGCTCAAACTTTGCAAAAAAATCGATAAAATCGATAAAAGTAATCGATAATCCTGAAAACCAATATTGTATTCGGAATCCCCATGCTCGATTACCCCCCTGTGCCAACTCCCAGCCCCGTAGGTGAACTCAGCAAAAAAATCGATAAAAATCGATAAAATCGATATCGATCGATGACGAAAAGTAGCCTATGACACCCGCCGGGGCCCGTAGCGTATGTGTGCCAAGTTTGGTCCGAATCGGTTCAGAAATGGAATTTTCTATTCGGAACATACGTACATACATACATACAGACAGACATACAAACAGACATTCAGCTTTATATATAAGATTATTTTTCTTGGCCCACACTCTAAAAAGTGTAATCGAGACCTACAATTAGTCTCGTATGCATTAACAGCCCGCGATATGGGAGGGAGCTCCTACCTCAGGCCAGCAGCGTAAACCAGCAGAGAGCGTATTGCTTGCTAAAGCCCCTTACAAAAATACTCAAAATAATAATCATATTTGAATTCAGTAAACTTGTGCAACTTCTCAATTTCAGTCTCGTCAAATCGTTTTCGTGTCGCTATGCATTTTATGCGCTACATTTGTATTGACAAGGTAAGCGGAGCTTTCGATTAGTCTACTCTTTCTATTTCCGTTTTCACATCTCCGAGATAATTCTTGATATTGTTCTGAGGCGTTATGCTCAATTCTGTTCCTGTTCCCAGCCATTTACGCAAAATCAGTAACAATTGTAGTCCTTCTTCGTTGTGGGTCAAAAAAAAAAACGCCAGCGAATTACTAGCGTGCAAGCTGACTAAGTCGTGAATAAATATGACTGAGAATTACGAGAGCTATGCTACACAGAAGGCAACAGAAAGGTTTGTGAGAAAGAGGCGAGAAATGCATGAGAATAGAGTTCGAATGTAATAGCTGAGACTAGAGATTAATTCGCAACGAAGACCAAACGATGCAAATCATTCCCTGATTATAAATCACTATCCAACCGTAACCTTTCCATAATCTAGCTATCATCACGTCTCGCATACCTGCAAGACATGGTCTGTCTGCTCCGGAACTCAGCTAATAGGCCTGTGTTTCTCAAATGTGCTTCAATACTGGGGGAAACAGAAGAATCCGACGTCGGAGTTTGTTCGAGAGTGGATCGAGTTGTCCGTTTTTTTAAACGCAGCCTTTGCTGTATTATTACCTGTGTTTGCCGTGGGTGCGATAAATATTTCACTCATCAAATTGATGAAGAAGAGGAACTGTGAGGTGGGTAGAAAATAAGATTTTTGGGAACAGTGACCAAAATATAGTTCAGGAGTTGCTCGTCAATTCGGTAAATGTTAATCCGGAAGCAATCCATGAGCAAGAGCGAAAGATGACAACAACAGTGTTGGCCATTGTTACTTGCTTCACGCTCACACAGGGTCCATCTGCCATAGTGTTCGTCTATCAAATACTCTACGGATCCACTAGGTACACTTCAATCTTGCTAGCTTCAATTTGTTAGTATCTTATTTTCCTGCTTCAGCAATCTGCAAATTGCATCTGTAGTCGCCAATCAGTTGGTCCTTACTGGAAAAATGCTCAATGTTGTACTATTCTGCATGACTTCTTCAACGTTCAGAAGGAAGTTAGTACAAACGTGCAAAAGATGGCTCTTCCTAATCTGCTATTGTGAGCAACAAAGGTAGAAATGTGCAAATTTCGCAAATTGGGTTGAAACTATCAGCGTTTCAGCTCACGCTTATCACATGCAAACTCGAAATCCGGCATGACACAACGTACATCGGTGATGTCTTCATGGAGCTTTCGCACTATGCGATCGTCGTTCATGTCTCATGTATCGCAGAGATGATCGTCTGGATATTGGCGAAGCACACAAAAAGGCCATTCATCGCGCGCAGAGACTGGACGGTTTTGCATTCGCCTGAGATAGCATATATATCTTATCCTCCTCTACGGGTAACTGTGATCTCCTCGTGCTCATAGATTGTGTACATATCCTTCAGGTAAACTGAGAACCTTTGTAATCTCAAACTTGATATTTTTGCATATATAGTGGACATTACAAGTTTTTGTATGATGAAGATTTGGCAGCAATACATACTACTTTACATCTCGTTGTGCTGAATGAATAGAACCCGTAATTTTTAGATTTTTGTGAAAATAAAAATACAAGCACTGATCAACTATTGATTCTAAAAGCTGGGAACTTTAGAAATGATTTTCAAAATGCAGTGACATCTTTGTGACTTCTGTTTTACATATGGACATTATAGAAGACATACGGTAAAAAAAATCAATTTCTGCTTTTCTAGGCAGAATTGGTGACGCATTTCAAAAGCTTTCATTTCCAATGGAAATGATGCGGTATTTCTAGTTTCTTTACAAGCTCAAGGGACGAGTAGAAGTTTTGCCAGATGGAGATGCAAAGTCGCGGAAAGATTATAATTAGGATCAATCGTGGGGTGTGGCATGCCACACCTGGGGGTCGTTTTGAGGGGTCGGGAAGGGGGAGGGGATCGTTATCGAGGGATTTTTCTTTGGATATGGTTTAATTGTACCTTTTATTTTTTAGGTTGTTTACAGTTCTATTATTTAATGATGTTAATGATAACATGATATTCGTCAACAATGAGATAGATAGGCATCAGAGCAACGTTTCGAACGCAATCATAGTGACCTTACATGCAGATCCCTGCGTACTGTGCTTGAGCCTCAGTGAATTCAATTAACGCAATAGCATCAGAAATACCCAGAGCTGGACTTAGAACAAATCGATCAAAGTTTAAAGTGACTCTTTATTATACTCCAACAGTATTCGTACGATGTGCCATCAGTAGCAAATCAATGGCGATGATCAGCACACTAGCTAATTTAACCGAACAAAAATCTGTAAAACTGGTCGAAAACTTACTGCCTACCGTATACTCGCAATACATCGACAGGCTGTTGCACCTCTGCATAATGTATGATGCGCCTAGCCGCGCTGAATCGAGCGGTATACTCGGGTTTAGATTTCGTCCATTCTGAGGCGAGATATGGCGATACGACGCGGATTTCGGACTCTAGGATGTGCGGCGCACTCCGCTACACTCTAGTGGGCTGCGTCGCACTCCGGCGCACTGCAGCGCACTCCGGCGGAGTGCGCCGCAGTCCGGCGACTTTTTTGACGAATTATGAGCGGTGTTTTATATCAAATCTAACATTAAAAACAAAAAATATTGAACTTTTGTCTTATTTTTATTCTTCACTTTCCAGTCACAAAAAACGCGGCTTACGTACACTTGAGTACCTTATGTGTATAGTAGATGCTTGTCCAAGTTTGGTCTTCGCACTTAGACAGAAATCTGATGGTTGTTCAAAAACTTGTAAAGTTTTCTCCGCAAACTTCACATGGATCGAACCTTCTGCTATTTCAAGTAATATCTTGTAGAGCTTGCTTTGCTTAAACGAATGATATAATCAAAACGTTTTCATATTTCCTCTACCGCCTCAGGATAAGGAACATGCATTAAACCTAATACTTACCAGAGATTTTGAATCTCAACGAAACCCAAAATGGCACACTCAATTCTTTTCTTTGGCATTCATTAGTTATAGCCTATGAAAATATCTTGCATATCGTCCCTTACAGGTATATGAGCACGTGTCTGATAACCACTGCATAAAGTTCCACGCTATAAGCTATCATATAAAGTGCGGTTCATAATTATACGAACACCCAAAATTTCGTAAGTTTTTGGACTTTTTGGGAGAAACTCAAAAAGCCCAAGAACTTCCAAAATTTGGGGTGTTCGTATAATTATGAACCGCACTTTATTACGTCAAACATCATATTTGTGAGAGCTGACAGAGTTCGTATTTCAGAGTAAACTCCATATAAGTCATGCAGCGGATGACTTTGTGATGAATAACCTTGAGAAAAGTGGTCGGTTCGTCAGGTTTGTGAGCTGAAGCTCTCAGTTCTATCTGTTACAACCCAGCGTTTCTTGACCATACGGCTTTATTGCTCATCTCTTACTTCATCGTACACTTGTTTGCAGATTATGGATAGATGGTTTTCATTCTAGTTGTCAAAATAGGGATCTGTTAATAGACAATTGTTCGCTTCCGTCAATACCATTAGAAAGCCTCTTGGACTTCTGATTACAGGAGCGGTGGACTCTACTCCTATCCGGATCCCGTTGTAGGATGTTCTAAAAATAAGGCATTTGGCAGACAATGTAGTAGAGATAGCACTGAAACAAGTGTTAGAAAAACTTAAGACAAGGAAGAACGTTAAAAATTGTAGCAATTGTAACCATTCGTGCTAATTTGATGTAAGGACATATGTGTGGGCTGCTTTACCCTGCATCAATCGCGGGTACCTTTGGATGAGGCTACGCATGCGTGCCGCAAGCAGCTGGCGGAAGTCGGACTAAAGCGTAAAATTTACCTATGGAGAGTGATCAAGGTCGACTTGCCTCGTTTTTCTTCGCTTTCCTCATCCATTACCGCTTGATTCAACGAGATTGGCGGCTGGAAGGCGACCGCTCGCGCCCGCGACCCATTCTGCGTCTCCCTCGCAAGCGTGCTCTCTGACCATCTTCTAACTCCTCTAACTCCAGCCGCCAATTCCGTTGAATCAAAGGGCATAATTTTTGGCATGTCTGCTACAGAATTCTAGTTTTTAGTTTGCACCATGCGCTCATGCTGAACAATGCTGAATAAGGTAGTCTATGAATTCAAAGGCTACTGCATGAAGAGGGCGCAGAAGCAGTATTAGTTGAGAGGGCGCGAAGGCGGCGCGCGTATCCTCACCGTTGTAAATCCCGCATATCATGCGCTCTGCGGCTAATAAAGCCGCGTTCGCGACCAATGATATTGCCCCTTCGTCATGCAAAACGTATACAGTCTGCCCCAATCCCAACCAGGCCAAAATTGGCATGGCGGGAGTCCGCGTCGCTAGGGTTTCGCGGTCACGCCCACGGCTTGCTTCTCTGCTCTCTCTTCAGTCCTTTTGCTCTCTGTGACGGCCGCATATGCAGCGCAGGCCGCTGGCGTTGTGAGCGCGCAAATTTACGCTGACGCTTCGGCCTGATCCCGATTGAAGCAGACTGTACCTATCCTTCGAAATGCAATTAGTACTCAAGGGCAGTGTCTTGACAAGATCGATTTCAAGCTTTTATGCTAACCTGGACCTACTTGCTATGCTAAATCCGAAAACCTACATGGAGAGCGCGAAAATGACGAGAAGGGGCTCTAGTGCAGGAAAGGAGTATTAGCAGGTGGGCGAGTCCTCCCTGTGAAGTCACTCTTTCAGTTCAGGAGCGACCTTCTCGCTTCCGTTAGCCGCCCTACATCGCAACCGGCCAAGTGCGAGCGCGTGATGTATAAATCGGAACCGGGATCGATCCTAAGGAAGAGTGATGACTTCACAGAATGAAAGCCCTGCCATCTGTTGCTCCCCTTTTGCGTTAGAGCCTATTTACTGTTTATGAGTTCTTCAATACTTTGGATTCAGCGTAGCGAATAGGCCCATGTAAGCACAAAACTCAAATCGACTTCTTGTTCAGACACTGCCTTTGCACTTGCCACAGCAAACAGGTCAACCATATCCCAACTTCGCACAAACAGTTTCAGCGGCTCATGAGCAACCTACAGAATTAGTGGAACACTTTTTATGCGTAAAATTGATGAGCCCTAAGCAGCCCAGCGTGTATTATAGAATCAGGAAATCGCAAATATGTCTGAGCAAGTTAGCAAAGTAGCCGTTGGTGGTTCTAAGAAAGTGTCATAGCTGAAGAGTAATTTTCATGCGGATTCTCCCGTAAAGTACACGGGATCGGATAGGCTTATAATATGCACAAATTCCGGGATTATGAAACACTGCCTTCAACAATTGATTAACAATTTTTTCTGTCTGTCTTGTTAAACGAAATGTTTTTGTGCATACATAACGGTTGCATGTATGTGTGCACATCAATTACTATCATCGTAATGCGATGGTCGATTCGTTTCTCGATGTAGAATTTGAATCGCTTCGGACCGGTGCGGCACAAGGTGCATCACCCAGTTTACTACGGTCTCCTGCTTCTTACAATCGGTCTCTTTTCGATAGAAGAATATCATTGTAAAGACACAACAATTGTCCAACAATGACCATTGTTCCACTCTGATCTTGCGCCAGCTTAATTTATTCCGGTGGAGGAGTGGCAAACAGTAGGCTATTGTAAATAGGCGCAGCGCTGCGAACGTCGTGTGTGACAGATTCTTCGCGCGGTTAGTCTTTGATCTGGGATCGCATCTCTAAGGAGATTTTGCTTTTTTCAGGACAGTTTTGATCCGATCCGTTAACCATCCTGATCATAGCTATGACTGGTATCCTTTCCTCTCATTCGCAACTACAGTGGCCAAAAACTTACAGTTTGAGAAAGTCTTTGAACTGCATGATCGCATTCGGATCGAGATTTTGCAGAATAAGTGTCATGTTTATCTGCACTTCTGCCAGATCTATGGAGTTGATTGTGCGTTTTCCTTCCAGCCATTCCTTAAGAGAAAGAATTTCTAACCATATCAACATAGTTTTTTGAAACGTGCTCAAAGGCAAAGTCAAGGTTAGAGGTCATCAAAAATTATAATGCCATGTGCAAGTGGACATCCTTGGGAACGCAAATTCACAACTCTCAAGTTTTAAGGCTCTTGGAGGTTCTGTAGTTACGCCTACACCTTAGGGGGATCGACCATTCTTTTCCTCTCACTTGTAAAAGATCTCGAGTGTGGCGACTAGGTTGAAATCCTTATGAACATACCTTCGATAGTCCAGAGATGAGGCCTCAAAAGTGAAGGTTGTTTGATTATCTGCCCTTCATAAAAACTGATAGTTGTCTATATAAAACCAGAGAAGAAAAGAAGATGCAAAACAGTCAGCTAGAGCAAAAAAAATTCT